GGGTCAGTTTTACAAACTTTCAATGAATGTATGTTAAGAATTCCATATAACCGTTACGTGTTGTAACTAATCGATCAAAAAATAACGAATTAAGTCATAAAACATCAGAAAATCACTTCTCCTCTCGAACCGTACAAATTACAGATAACCGAGGCGCGAGGCCGTAAACACACAAAACCGATCTGTTAGTGACAAAATAACTCATAAAAGTTTAGTACCATCCATTAGCCGAGTTTGTTTTCACACAGTGAACTTTATTCTATTGACAGTGAGGTCGGGAATCGTCCAGTATCGTATTCGAGAGGTGTTAAATACCACTTTGTATAAATTAAAATCAAGCGACAAATCCGCGGTCTCAAAGGGCTCCACTAATTAACGGCCAGATAAAACAAATACTGCGGCAATTACTTTAATATGTTTATTTTGCATATAAATAGCTTAATTCTTTTAAATTGATTTCGATCCACTTGAAGTTATGTAGCGTTATTTATGTCTCGTCCGAATACATGTTTGGTTCATTATCAATTCAAATTCATATGAGGTCGTATTATTTTGAAACTGGTTTGGAAGCTCATTCTTAATTGTAGTTTCAATCAATTCTTACGGTAAACAAAACTTGTAACGACTATCATTATCCGTCGAGGACGCGCGTGCACGAGGCAGTGGACGAGGCAGTGGATGAGGCAGTGGACGAGGCGAGGCCATCAATAACTGCGCCACGGACTCGGACAACAGTTGATTTCGATGAGAATTAGAGCGTTCGCATTTTTACTGTAGTAGGAGGTACTGTGGGTAAATTACTTTAATACAAAAAATGGTGATTATACGACCGTCGAATGAACAAGATATAATACTTTATTAAAAAATATTAACTGAATAGATTCCATGTATTAAAATATTAATAATTTTATGTGAGAGTAACACTGAATAACTTCCATTACAGACTAACTATGTAGTTGAAAAGTATATACCTAAATCTGTCTTATTGCCCGAGTAAATAAATATTATTAGATAACATCATACGTTGCTCAGATTCCAAGATGAGTAGCTAAGGCATAGCAAAGTTAAAGTAGTATTAAGTTACCACAACACCCAGATCTGAGACAATATAGAAAACTTTTTTTTCTATATTGAATCGACCGGGTATCGAACCCCTCGGAGATGACGACACCTTGAAACCGGCGTGTGAATCACTCAGCTTCGGAGGTCGGCAGTCCAGTAAGTATGGAAGGAATGGTAATCAAATACTACTTAGCAAATTAAGAAAAAACGTTTCTCCTAAAGATACAAAAAATTTATGAAGAATTTATTGTAAAGAGATCGTTATATTTTTTTACTGCTCGTTTTACGTCTTTATATTTTCACAACATAATTGCATAACATTGTCGGTTCATAACTGTTGAGTGCAAGGGTGAATTCACTCGGTTAATATTCAAGTAAGCGTTAAAGCATTAACGTAACGAGCCGAGTACACCGAATGTCTATATATGGAGCAATAAATGTACTCAGGCATGTGGCCGGTTTTTCGCATTTCATTACTCGTAAAAGTTACCATTCAATTTACATTAACTGTAAGAATATAATATGTACAGTGCATTACAAATACAACACGTTTATGATAGGAGAGTGCTCGTCCCACTTGTGCCGACATTTGCGGGAGATCCCAGACTCTATTCCCGGTCAAAAGAAATATTAAACTTTTTCAATATTTTCGATAGTTGGGTGGATAATATACTTTATTTTTCTTTCTTTATTTTGCATTCCTTAAATTATAATTTAGTTATTAAGCTTTGGTAAAAAATATTAACTGTTATATAACTTTTAATGTAAATATTAACTTTTAAGCTATTAACTCTCTCAAAGTTTAAAAAACCATTGAACAACTTTAAACCGTAAATGTAGCTTCAAAACTTTTTCTTCCATTTGTTAAAGATGGATTCTTTTAAAATAATATACTTAAAATCTAAACGATTTGAAAATTCTTTCATAAAAGGATTTAATTTAATAGTTTCATAACACAAATATATAAATATATATTAGTTTTATAAAACAAATATATTGGTGAATTCTATAATATTTGTGAGATAAAAATATAATTTGTACTTAGATTTATCTTAACTTTAAAATCTTATCAAGTCAAGAAAATCAACTTATGTCACTAATATACAACCATCACGACGGAATTTGTTACACTTATCTGTATAATGGAACAAAATAAAGTATGGATAATAAATGAGATATTATCTAATACGTTATAAAATAAAATAAACTAACGATAACTAGACTTGGAGTTGCCGTTTCAACGGACGTTGGTTCGCAACTAGGGACGTTGATAATAAATAGAGTAATTAAAGAAGATCTGAATTAATTTGTTCTAGTAGTGTTTATAATTATATATCCGAGTTAATAGGCTCAATGATCGACTAAGGGCGAGTCGAATTCGCGCACGAAGTGTTCCATACAGCATGAGATGCAGCCTGGTCACAGACAAACAGTGAAATCTTAGTAATAGGATTTCCGTTTTACCCTTTGGGTACGGAACCCTAAAAAAACAACCTCGAATTTGATCTAAAGAACAGCGCTGTCAGAACACAGAGGTACTATCGAATTAAAAGGTTATTTAATGTACCTTTTGAAGTAGGTTTTATTTAATGCAACCTCTGTGCTGTATTAGACGTCTAATTCGAGGTTGTTTTTTATTACAGAATAGCACACGGATGAGAGATAATACTAAAATTTCTGTAAATATCGATATCTTTGACAATTATACAAATATGCAGGGGAGAATATTAAAAGTTCTTCAAAAATTCGATGATGGAAAGTAAAAATTGTTTACACTGCTATAATAATTAATATATTGTGAATTTAAAACCAAGTTAATTTAATTTTATATTAATACAACATCGCGTACATGGCTCACATTCCAAATTACCTAGCTAAAACACTTATATGTTTAGTATTACTTATATGTTCAAATCAAATCAAATCAAATCATTTATTGCATGTCACATTAAAATTATAACATAGTAATTATTTTGTTGCTCGTGTACATGTGACGCCCTGTAAGGGCATGGCAATGTTACAATACAATACAATAAAATAAAATAAAATACAAATACCCAAAATTAAATAATATTAGAAATTACATGTCAAGAAACTTATAACAATATATATTAACAATAATTAAATTAAATATAAATTAGGCATTTCAAATATCACAATGTTCATCAATAACAATTTTTAATTTATTAATAATAGTATAATATTTATGTCAATTTTTCATTAAAAAATTCATCTATATTGTAATATGCTTTATTTAGTAAGAATAATTTTAATTGATTATTAAATGACATTTCTGTTTCCAGATTTTTAATATAATTTGGTATATGATTATAGATTTTTATTGACATAGCATGCGGGCCTGACGAGACTATTTCTAATTTTGAGAAGTGCATTTCTAGTTTGTTTAAATATCTATTGCCTCTCCTAACACTTGTTATAGGTGTATAAAATTCTGGGTGTTTCCTTACGAACTTACATGTTTCAAGAATATATATTGATACAAGAGTCAGTATTTTGTGTTTAATAAAATGAGGACGACATGATTCCATTTGATCAATGTTAGACATTATTCTGATACACTTCTTCTGTAGTATAAATATTTGATCTACATGACATGAGTTTCCCCACAGAACAATTCCGTAGGATAGAATTGAATATGCATATGCGTAGTAAGCTGTAAGGGCAGTTTTAAAATCCGTTACACGTTTAAGATGATGTAGTGCATATATAAAAGACGACATTTTATTTACTGTCTTTTTAATATGTGTTTTCCAATTCAAACACGTATCCAAATCCACTCCTAACAAAGTAGCAGAGTCAACGGTCTCTAATTTTGTACTCTTATAACTATATGAAATTTGTAATTTTGATTTTTGATATGGCTTAAACTGAATAATTTTGGTTTTACTAAGATTAAGTTGCAAATGATGAAAGTCTAGCCAGTTTACAATTTTGTCCAATGTAGAATTAAGTTTAGTTTTTAAGTCTGTTCCGTTGGAGCATGAAAACAAGACAGATACATCATCGGCAAAAAGCATACATAGGTCGTCTAATATGTTTGGAAGATCATTTATATAAATAAGGAATAAGATACATCCTAAAACGCTGCCCTGGGGAATAGAGCCTTCAATATGGATTGCATCTGATTTGGTATAGGTAATCATACCCGTTACAAAATTTGTATGTTGAATTTCTACATATTGATAACGGTTATGGAGGTATGATCTAAACCAATCATGGGCTTCTCCTCTGATTCCTGTTTGGTATAATTTATTCAAAAGGGTTTTATATGACACCCTATCGTAGGCCTTACTCATATCGAGTAAAAGGCCTACCGCGTACTTTTTATTATTAATTTCGTTTAAAATATTTTTTATATATTTATAAATTGATGTTTCTTTATCTATTATGGGAATCATAAACTAACGAAGTGTAACAAAATATCCAAATCCGACACGATATAATAAAAGCTCAATAAATCTGACCGGGAGTTGAAGCCCGGACCTCAGAGACTCAAATATCTACTTTATTTTTGTTTTTTTTTATATAATAAAAAAATACACGTGTATCGTACAACGGTTTATCGCAGAAGTACTTCAATGCCATCAAATAATAGATATAAAAATATGTAAAGATACCTTCATATTACAGAGTAAATGTTTAGTAACATATATCACACTTCGCCGCTAGTGAGCGTATAATTGTCAATATTATGAAAAGCTAATTACGATTGATTACACTTATATTGTGAGAGACAAAGATTAAAAAACGATAATTAGTTTAAAGAAATGTCCTTGGAAATAAGTAACAGTTTTTATTGCTATAACGATCATAAAGCATCATTAAACAGCGAATGGAAATGTGAAAAATGTGTCGTCGTGGTCATCGTCGTAAGTATTGTGGACATGCCTGATCGAACTAACAAAGAAAAAACGTACCAAGCGGACCGGTCTCTACGACCTGCTCAGCGACAATCATCGCCGCAGCCGGCTCCTAGATGACAACAGATACAATATCAGATGGTACCACTTATTAATTGACATATTGGTATTTGTGCGCGAAAACGTCAAATCGTATTTTATGCGATCGGTGTTCATTTATTAAAACGCTGTGGCAGCTCTTGTGTTCTATTTTTATCATGATAATTTTGTTTAAAGACTTAATGCTTCTTAAGTAATTCTTCTAAATAAAAAATAAAAATCTATGTACTGTGATTATTATAATTTTATTTGACGTTTATTTTTTCTATTGTTTACTTTAATTAATTTAATCGATTGACTTGAACTGTAATAATTTACTGAAGTTTTGACACAATTGTAATATTTTGATTAAACGCTGTAACATGTACTACTATAATTGATATTGTTTAATTTGGCACAATTTTTTCTTTTTATGAAATATTTTGAGTTTAATGATTGTAATACCTACATTTTTTTGCATTCTATTCAAGATGGCTGAATAGGTCAAAGCTCTCACTCTTAAATATCATCACTGAACATATAACCCTATTTATTGCAAATAAAGACATTATCATTATTTTTATTAAGACATTATTATTAGCTTCTTCTATTTGAATGATTCGCCTCATCATCACCTCGTCACCCCGCGAAAATAAATTCAAACAAATGAAACTCACTTCAAAAAATAAGATTATTGAAGTTTGACTTATTTTTTTATTACCATTTGGAAGGTGAAGTTTACTCTATCCGTCTTAAATAGTAATTTCGAGAACAATTTTTACTTTATTAAACTTTTTGAATTTGGTTTTGTAAATACATTTTTAATCTATTTTGAAAAGTAAGTTAAAATTTAACAGTTTTATTAATAAACAAGGTTTAACGTTGGCATAAATTTACGTTGAGACTGCACTTAGTATTAGTCAAAATTCATATTAATAAACAGAGGCCTAGTAAAGATTAAACTAGTACGAGGTTCTACGAGAGTAACATTTACTCCTAGAGGGTAGTAGTAGGTTTGCTTATTCTCTGTATATATGAATTTGAACTAATACTATAATTGCAATTTTAGCGAAAATTTACTTCGACCCTAAACCTTGTTTATTAAAAGCACCGTTAAGGTGTATATCTTCTAAACTACAAATGCGATGAAACTTGAGCATAAGTTGAAAGTAAAGTAGTGAAATAAGTAAGAACCTTTGCAGTGCTTGGTTTCGGGCAATACGTGGACAAACAATATTTAGTGCACATGTTTAGACGGCCATATTGCCATAAAAGTTTAAGTAAATATTTCATCATTTCAAAGCGATTACAAATGCAAATACAGGGGTCAAATTATAAAAGAGAAATTTTGGTGTATCGAGATATTTACATATCTATTATATGCTATCTCACTAGAAGAAACTTTTCGTTTTTATTGCAATGTTTATATCTCGTAACATAATACCGAATAATAGAATTTCAGTTACTGCATTTTTTCTATTAATGTGCAATGTAAAGCAGTTTTTCTTAAACACAGCAACATTGCTCTTTTTATAAATCAAACTATTTAGTTTTATTAGTATACTTTACCGCTAATATATATATTTTTTTAAACCATGAGAAACGAGCAACACTTAACACTTTATCATTTTAATGAATATGGGATCTTTTATGAGTGGATATATCTTTGGATACGATCGATTAAACTGAATGGAGATCGTGAGATTAATGTCCGGAGCGAACGGTGTGGATTCTGTGATATTAAATATGTGCTGTAAACAAATTAACAACGCCGCTACTGGACACTGGAATGTTTCAAAACGATAAGAAATAAATAAACAGATTGAACGGAATATTTATTACTTTAGATATCCTATTATAATTTGATCGACATAAATTAAACGAAACATTAATAAAATATGCTTTGAAAAATAATTCCTATTGTTAATACTATTTCACTTGGTATTTTATTTTTGAAATTATCGTAAATTTTTAAAGAAGTTTAAGTAATAATTTAAAGGAGTTTAAACTTCAATGATTTATTAAAGAATATTAGAGGTTCGTGTGGAATCATGGTGTGTGAACAAAGTTGTGTAGAGTCAATACAAACTCAACCTCCAGTTCAGTTGCTTTTGCCTGGCGGCCCAATAAGTATATATGAGTTTAAGAAATGCAGGCTTAAACGTCTTTTATTTAGAGGCCGTGATTATTATTTCTAGAGTCAATTTGAATTGTTCGATTTGATGATTTAGGTGCTTGAGTTTTTGGCCGAGACTACCCCTGCTCAGTTTAGAAAAAAATATTTTACTATACGTCATGGTAAAAAGTATTTTACTATAAAAAATATGGACTTTAAAAATATCATCTGACGTTCCATCTAAAAATGTATCGTCCTAACTGAAGGTAATTATGATCAGAACCGGCTGAGCCGATATATTGAAGCATTTAATTTATTTATTCGATTTAAAACCGATGAGAATACTGCAACGAATGCACCACAGAAAAATTGAATTTGCACTCAATCTCGGTTGTATTAAGACAGAAATAAGCATAATGCGTCGCAGAATTGATTTTGCGATGCATTAATTCATTCACAGTGGGGCGCCAATTTCTTATTGAATATTATTATTAGAGTTCATTTTATCTGTGCATTTAAATGAAATGATTAATGTAGAATATTACGGTACTAATAACTTGCAAGTATTAACCTTCAAGTTACGGCGTTATAACGGTGTCACTTATTATGCGTTACACTTCTGTTATAATGTTAAGAGACCAATTAGTTGTACATATAAAAGACATCAACGCTCTACCTAATGGAGCTAAAGTGCTTATTAACATAACTTCTACTATATATTTTTATGATTAAATTGTACACAGTAGTCACTTTTTTAAAGATAGTAAATTGATATAAATATCTTTATTATTTTTGATGAATTTTGCATTCGTTATGCTATACTGAAAAATATTCTTAATGAAAAATCCACTTTGTGCCTGACACTCTGAGATGGGACTCAAACCCATGACTTATCGCAACTAGTCCTTTGGCAAGAGGAATTGCCTGGATTGCAAAAGGTCATAGGTCAGAGTACTATCTCAGAGTACCAGGGACAAAGTTGATTTTTTTAAGCATTTTTCATTAAGTGATATAAATATTTTTCTCTAACAGCCAGTTGCACTAATATCTATTAAAATTTTCATTAGTTTAAAGCGACATTAGCCTAACAAATTTAACATTCATTAGAGCTTAAACGACGTTTGTGCAACTGACCGTATCACTAGCGAATGTATGTGTTCAAGTGTTTCCTTCGACGAGTTTCAAAAGTTTTGAGAAATCTGTATTTTATTAATTGATAATGTGTTCAGCCACAATCACAATTGCTTCAAAATAATTTAACTTATTTCAGCCCCCTTACTGATGTTTACCTTGTTACCTTGTAATGTTATTACATACTATTTATTGAGGAATTCTTTTGTAGAATTAAGATATAACACATTCCAATTCCATTTATTATAAAGATTAAAGACGTCGACTATGTTTTTACGATTATCTCCACTTCACGGCGTCACATTATTACCTACGTTTATTTAATTAATAATTTTAGATATTTGTTTTTTGTTCCCTGGCTATTTGCATATAAACCACAATTTATGACCGAGCTTGGTAGAAGAATCGATTTTGAATTTCGTTGTTTTAATTTGTCTACGTCCAACACAGAATGAAAGTATCCTCTGTAGTCGAGCGGCTCGTATATCGGTTTCAAGGTGTCGTCATCGCTGAAGTCCCAGGATCGATTCCCGTTCGGGTAAATGTAGAAAAGGTTTCAAATACTTCATAATATGAGTGCTTACTTAGAATCTGATAAAAACGTTTCGTGGCATAAGTGACACGGAAATTCAAAGTTTCTGTGTGAAATTTTACATCAATTTTATTTTGTATTTTATACAAATAATGAATAGAATTTCTACACTAAATGACGTGAATTTTGGGCCTGTATTTTTCCAGAATCGCAGTACTGATCAGCATATGTAATTGTCTAATATTTATTTATTGACTACCAATATCGATATATCGATAAGATGCAACACTGTATTACCTCGTCTGTGATGTGTATGAGCCGCGGGTCCGCTTGCAGCGCGGCCACCAGCCGCGGAGCGTCGCCGCGCGCCGCCGCCTCCAGCAGCGCCGCGCCACCAGACATGCGCGCGCTCACACCATCACTGTAACAATACACACACACACACATTTATACTATATAGTCTACAGACTTTATCAAATTAAATATGTCTACTGCATTTAATAGTCACAATGCTGAAAAATTTAATTAACGTTTTTTACATATCACTTCCAGTCTTGTATTATATCGGCCAGTATGAACATCTGTACTTATATGTATAAAAGGAGTATCCTGACATACTGACTGATTTATAATTCATGTGCTATGATTGAAAAGTGATAATGATTGTTATTGCTAATATAAACCCGGTTGATTGGCGATTGATCTATATCAATTTTCCGATATTGAGTTTATAATAATTTGAAATCTTTTTATTTATTTGAAGTAAGAATAAATTTATCGAGAAAAAAATCAAACTGAACGAAATACTTAAAGACGGCTCTTATATTTAAGAAACATCTATTGAAGTAGAGCGGAGGTTTTGTAAAGAGTATATAGTTATGTAGAGTTTCTAAAATATAAAACGAGTAAAGATCCCAATACATTTATTATTATGTACAGACACCTTATTGGGTGCAGCGCTGAATTCTGTGGACACAACACTATTACAATATTATTTGGTCAAAGAACTGCAATATTAACGAATATGTGTCTACAGTTTAACATATACTAATTAAACATGAAATATACCGTATATAATGAACCGACCGTATATAATGAATACGGTCTTTATAAGTGCAAAATAAAATGAAATAAGAGTAGTATAGTGAGATAATTACCTCAGTTATTGTGTTACCGTATATTTGCTGCACCGTATGCGTGTCACGTGTGAACTGAAACTCGACAGCCGAAGAGTATCGTTACATACCCGATTGATCTTCAGATCTATACCGAGACTCTGTGGTCCATCTCTAAAGCGAAAGCGTTTTTTACAGTGCCCAAATAGCTCAATGAAAAAAGCAATATAACTTTCCTATAATGTAATTTTAAAATTACTTGTATCTTCCTACATCTGTATACGTTTGGTAGCATATTTAAAACTTAAAACTATCACTTACACCCATGTAATTATCTAGGCATTTCGATGACGATTGAGTGCTTACCTTGAGATTTTTTTATGTTTATCTCAAGATTAAGTTTTAGTTATCAATTTTTTGTATAGATATTGTTGTAATTTATACGCGTAGCGGATGGTTACGGGATTTTATACAAATATGAATGGTGTAGGAGCGTTCATAAGGTGTCGGTGAAGCGTCTCGCCCGCTCCGCTCGTGTGCGTGGCGCGGCGCGGCGTCAGCTAACAATGCTGCATTATGCACGCTCCAGTGAGGGCCCGCCCATCCCATGGGAGAAGTATCCGCCGGAGGCACCATACCTTCAGGTTATGGTTTCGCCATCGATCTCGTTAATGATCATCATGTGGAAGACAAAGCATATAGAACATGTATTTCCACCTTACTTATCTGGCTACGATTTTTTTGTGTTATTCGCCTGTTGTGTGTTAATAATGTATAGATAATATTTTTTTTAAGTAATTTAATATACAAAATAAATCTAGTGAATCTATTTATGACTTTTCAAACAGAGAAGTAGACCTATTCCCGATTTGGAATTACCTTAATTGGTGGGGGTTCCAGTGATTGATTATCACATAATTTTTACACCAGTTATTGTATCTATTATCGATGATCGATATTGACAAAAACAGTATTAATAGTATTGCAATTTTGCACCCCTATTGGCGTGGCAGGCGCCAGACTAACATTCCGTCACTATTTGAGATTTTTAATGACATAAAGATCAGCGGTAGGTACACCCGAAAATTTACGGCGCTTGTATTACATTGACCTTGCATGCGTGTAATTATTGTAAGACAGTTGTTTCGATGTATCATGTGTAATTAAAACTGAACTTTTAGCCGGTACACGTACAGTTGAGTAGCGGTTGCATACGACGAACGGTGTAAGTAATGTAATGTCTATGTGTTCGTAATGTGTTCATTGCTCGCAGTGCCGTCATCTGCGGTTATATTGCCTTATAGGAACATTTTATCTTATAATATTCGAAAATTTTTGTGGCTAGTATTCAAGACCAGAATAGAACTGCATATCACTCATATTTCAGGATTGCTTTGTAGCAATGGAATTTTATTTCAAGCATATTTCAGCCTTCATATTTAAGGTAGTATAAAAAGGTTTTATTTGATGAATATTTAATGTAGCGACAGACAATGTCGAATGCTGTATTTTACAGAATGCCAAAGCAGAACCACCGCTTAGTGTACTGACACTAATTGCTGCGATAGCAATAACAATTTGAAGATTTAAACACTACGTCATAAGGATTAACTAGATAGAAAGATTAAAATCTGTCAAGTTATATACTGTCGAAAAAGAACAAAAGAATCAGGATATTTTACTCGATTTTTTATTAGTTTTTAGTAACTTGAAGTTTCAAAAACGACGGGCCTCTATACGCAGCATTACTTACAAATTATGAAAATACTACTGTACGCTTTGAATCACTCGACGAGTACAAGATACCTCCATATTTAATCAATTAAGTACTGTTTGAGGCAAGTATACGATTGAAATACATTTACAGTGAGCAATCGTTTGGAATGTGTATTCATTTCTACACGAGTTGAATTTCGATTGAGGTAAGTGGAAAATTAAAATTTCACCGAAGCACTTTGTAAGGGCATCAATTGCACTATACATGCATTATTTTGTTTGACATTTTTTTACGATATAACTTTAAAAAAATACTTGTAATCCTTGGATTTTTAATGAGTTTGTATCTAATCCAAATAAACGAGTCAAATCAGACGCATTTGAATTATACTAATATTGCTACAAAAACGATAAATTCGAATTTAAAATTCAAATGATAATAGGATATTTAATACCCTCAAATGCTTCATAAGGAGCTTACTTACTAAGTAGATTTTATATTTTCTAAAACGAGTTATAACTTGTTTGGATTTTGCATAAAAATATAGCTGTTTTGATATTCAAAATTAAGCTTCCGTACGTTTCTGTAAATATACCTCAAAAATATCGACAGAATTGACTCTCTGGATTTTTTATGCAAATTTTTTTTTTGTACCCTTAGAGATATTACATGTACATTTTGTCCTAAAGTTCCCACGGACACACTCAACCACAGTGACGCGTGGTCAAGCGTAGCTAGTAAACATCTAACTAAGCACTTTATAGCAAACCAATTATAATAGTTAAATACTTTTTTAGCGTTTCACAATGAAGTAACCGGAGTTACTTCACATAATTAGCAAAGACATACATAATATTCTAGCGTAGTAATATTAATCTATTAATAAGATAAAGCGAGCGTAAAATGACCTTTTATAAAGTGAACAAAATACATATACTCGTTCAGTAATCATTTATGACCATTAGGAAAGCGTCCACCGCAAAATGTGAGCTGCAATAGAGCAGGTTGTGATATGTTAAATTACCTGGCTTTCAATTCTATTTCAGTAGAGTTTGAATCACAGTGGAATTGGAAAAAAATACCATTAAAAATGATATCATATCATTTTGTCACTCAAACTAAGTTATGTAATCTATTACCGTAGTGCGTGGCTTAGGTGCAGCCGAAAACCAAGCGAACACGTAAACACGCATACATTGTGGTTCACTTTTTCAGACTTGAATGTTGCAGTGTAGCCTGAACCTGAATTCGATCTCCTAAGCTTAGATTCCCATTCAGATCAATAACAAATATATTTTGCTGTATTGTCTTTCAACCAACACAAAGTCTGCGCTTCAATTTCGTGTTAGTATGTGGAGTGCGAGCCTTAACTACTCCAGCCTGGAGTTGTGATGTTACGCGGTGTTTTTGCCCTGCCATCACTGCGCAACCAGTTGGGAACCTGTATTGCTATATTTAAATGTTGGGACAATGTGTCGTCAAGGATTCCTATAAGTATGTTTATGTTTTAGTGTATTTATAGACGTTGAACTTTTAGATTAGATATTTTATTGTTACAAAGGAAAATATAGAAGAAACCTCCTTATATGTTAATGGGATTGAAATCGTTAATGCTATAATAAAAATGACGCCACATTCATGTCGTTTTATTATATAATTTTTGTTTAATATTCTGTTGTTATGTTGTATAATAATTTAAAAGTTTGTACAAGAACGGTTTAGCTATTACAATCATAAATGACCCATACACACCATCTCAGTACAATAATATAGTATGATCGTTAAACTATGACTATTAGTTCAATTATAAGTCGTTTAACGTAATTATTAAGGTTTAATTTGGTCCACCACTCGTGTCGATGAGGTTTGGGCACGCACTGCGCTTACGCATTCAAGCTACTGCCAGTATTATTAATCGAATCATGTTTTATTATTATAAAATACTATAATAGTAGCACTCGGTTTTCTCAGTGTATCCTGTAAAAGTTCTGACGTGAAGATGTAATATAATTGTGCTTTGCAGATAAACTTGTTTAACTAAATAATTCAAAGATGTAAATTTATAGCCGGATTAGAGAGATGATACCTCTCTTATGATTTAATTTTATACACATTTTACAGTATTAATAAATTATATAAAGCTATTAAATAGCTACATAAATCGAAGTGATTACTTTATTAAAGTTTCCAACGTAGATTCGATATGATTTCGTCTTTAGTGAAATATCTATGATAAACGTATTTCTTCACATAATTTTCACTATTGTTTCATACCACACAAACTTCTTGGATTGTATTCCTGTACATACTCAGTATCAGTCAACCCGAAAAGAAATAAAATGAACACCTTCACAACGATTTAAGTGGGTAGTTTTGCCACTAAAAACAATAGCGTCTATACTATAATAGTGGTTTATACGCGACATTATTAATTAAAGTCATCACACTTCTGTTATCGGCGAGTGGTAACGATCGGCGAACGACTAAGCGACAGGTATCTCTATCAAGTTGCTATAAAAACTATAGATCTTAATACCGCAAAAAAAACGATAGCCAGCAACAACAATGCGGTTAGAAAAAGAAGGCTCATTTAAATTCCGAACGGACGGCGTGAGCGCACCACGCGGAAGGTTCGATAAAATGCTACGAGAACGTACGTAAAAACAATGCTGGACTATTTATTGTATAGTGACTCTCAAACTGTGTAGAAGCGAAATAATTCTATAAATTAAATTAAAAATAAATAAAGCACTAAATGTGTTGTTAAGTTCAAAACTTAAAAATGGCTGGACTTATCCTGTGTTATTTTATTTCCTAAGAGAACCTTTTTCGTGGTTGTTATACGAAGTAAAATGGAAAATACAACACATTTTTCTTTTTTCATACACACTGTATAAGTACGAAGTTCGTTAAGTGTAATGCAAGCGACGAATATTTATGAATGTAAGAGAAGTTTGAGAACCGTTATGGACGAAAATTGTTATATGATGATATACGAACCATATAATTTTCTCGCCGATTTATACGTATATATATGGTCCTTTATTCATTAAAGCAGTCTTTGATTTTGGTGGATTTTTTAAATAAATACATAGTACTTATCAAAAGTTTTTATTTGTAAGTATATAGCAAAAGTAATCTACATATAACATTAGCAAGGCTATGTGTTGTTCGACTAATTACAGCTGTTCTATGATACACGATACTAACTAATGAAAACAGGCTAGTTACATTACAGATCGTGCGCGTTGATCATCACTCATTTTAGCCGCTCCAAGGACAATATTATGGACCTACTGTATTAAGCATTGAGTCACCAACAGTGGCGGCAAGAGACATTATCAAATGTGGGCATGCATATTTTGCGTGGCCCTTTTAATAGCGGAAAAAGGTCATTAAAAAACTGTTAAATTAAAATAAAAAAATATATTTATAAAAATCGGAGAAAATATTTATTTTCGGAGCAACTACCTACAATATTCTTTCTAATTTTACTTCATTTCATTAATAACAAAATATTGGATTTTCCAAACATTTTTATTTTGTGCAGGTATCACCACTCTCTCTATTGCACCGCAAGATGTTTTAAACGTCAACAATTAGCGTAAATACATGTCATTTTTAAAATGATTGTTTATCTGTAGTATATGTAGATCTGAGACTATAGAATTAATCTAAGATGCAGGCTTAATAGGACCTGTGGTGGTGTCTTTAAGTCCTAATGGTATGTAATCTGTAATCTATACAAAACATAGGCATATAAAAGGAGATGTCCACTAAACCGCTGGTAGTAAAGACTTGAAAAGGTACATTCCTCTTAATACGTATAGGTGTGCTTAGAACGCATTTTTGAAAATTCCATCCCGAAGGGAGTCAAAAAGTGGTGAAAACGTTTGTATGAAACTTCCTTGTTTTTAGA